TTCACGGCATGGCCAAGGTTCACTCGGCATGGCCAGGTTCACCACTCGGCATGGCCAGGCTGGCCAAGGTTCACCACTCGGCATGGCCAAGGTTCACCACTCGGCATGGCCAAGGTTCACTTCGGCATGGCCAAGGTTCACTCGGCATGGCCAAGGCGGCACCCACTCGGCATGGCCAAGGTTCACTGGCATGGCCAAGGTTCCCCTCGGCATAGCCAAGGTTCACCACCGGCCAAGGTTCACCACTGGCTTAAGGTTCACTGCTCGGCATGGCCAGGTTCACCAGGCCACTCGGCATGGCCAAGGTTCACCACTCGGCATGGCCAAGGTTCACCACTCGGCATGGCCAAGATTCAAAGAGTTCATGTTGTCATCAAACAAAAGAGTTGTGAGATTGTACTTGTAAAGCATCGGTTCATCTCCATTGAGTAGAGCTGTCAGTACACTGTGTGTGCATACACACACACACACACACACACACACACATATATATATATATATATATATATATACTGTATAAACAAAGAGATGGGTAAAACATACATACATTTACATGAGTGGCGGCTCAACAGTGTAACGTCAGCACTCTATGCATGAATAAAAAAATATTGTGGTGCCTGAGGCTAGTGGCGCCACTACCACCATCTTGATAGTGTCCTGCCCTGCTGCACCACTGTGCTGCAGATGTGCCCTTATTGCTACTGTACGTCACTGCTGTTGCAGATGTACCGATGCTACTACGTCACTGCTGTTGCAGACATACTGTGTCAGTATTGCCGGCTGCTGTTGTTGCTGTGTTAATTCGGGATGCTCTCTCTCTCTCTCTCTCTCTCTCTCTCTCTCTCTCTCTCTCTCTCTCTCTCTCTCTCTCTCTCTCATGCAAACTCACATTTTTACGTGTGTGTGTGTGTGTGTGTGTTTGTTCACTTGGCCCACCTGTGACTGGCACACACACACCAGTAGTATAGTTACACTAGCCTGCATGGGAGTGAATCACGGCTGCTGACAGTAACGCCCCACAACGCCTCTTATTATTATTGAAGGTTATCACTAGACCAACAACATGGGTCTAACTAACCACAGGAAGATGGCTACAAAAAATAACTTAAATACCCAGCTTTATTTAACTTGAATATTATTAATTTGAGTTATGTTATTTAGTTATTTTATGTGACTTTGGATGTACGAGATAATTAAAGATGTTTAGATTGGTGTAGCAGAAAGTTCGCCCATTCTCAGTTTATTTCACCTGAAGATTAATTACCCTATTCTATACCTGTGTTTAGGTTAGGTTAGATAAGGTTAAGTTAGGTTAGGTTAGGTTAGGTTAGGTTAGGTTAGGTTAGGTTAGGTTAGGTTAGATTAGGTTAGGTTAGGTTAGATTAGGTTAGGTTAGGTTAGGTTAGCTATCGGGTTATGATAGTTATAATACTGATGGACGAATCTTAAGGTGATCCAGTATTAATTTGTCTCAAGGAAGGAGGATTAAGACGAGAGATGTGGGATTAGCTTAAGGTCTGATCCATAGAGACGGATTTGTGTTCAATTTCTTCTTTGTTTTCTTTTGTTGTTGTTTTTGTTATTATTGTTATCTTCTCTTCGTTGGTGTTTTTTTTCTCTCGTGGTATAAGGTTTGCACTCATGTATATTTTGTGTGTATGTATGTATATATGTATGTATGCGAGTATGTGCGTTTGTATATGTATGTATGAATGTATGTTTGTATGTGCATATTTATGTATGTATGTAAGTATGTATGTATGTATGTAATGTATGTATGTATGTATGTATGTATGTAATGTATGTATGTATGTATGTATGTATGTATGTATGTATGTATGTATGTATGTAAGTAAGTAAGTATATATGTGTGCGTTCGGTGTGACACAGGTTGTCAACAAGACACTCACAGAGGCCAGAGACAGACAGACAGTACACACCTTCCTCTCACACTTCCCCGGTACACTCTGGCAGCTGTTGTGGATCACCTGAAGATTAAACCACCAGCGTATCTCACCTTAAGTTTAACCACCCTAACGCAAACTTAACCTAACGCTAACCTTACCTAACCTAACCTAACCAAACGCAAATTTAACTTAACGCTAACCTAACCTAGCATTATCATACCTAACCCTAACCAAATCTAACGCTAATCAAATCTAACTCTAACCAAACCTAACCTAACCTAACCTAACGCGAACCAAACCTAACCTAACCTAATCTAAACTAACTTAACCCATCCTAAACTCAGGTAACCCTCAGGTAGCTTTAGGCGAGTTTAATCTTCAGGTGAAATAAACTGGGGTGTCTAATTATCAGTGAATGAACTAGGGTGTCTAATCATCAGTAGGAAGGTAGTGAGTGTTATCATCGCACACACAGACACACACACACACACACACACACAAGCACACACACACACACACACACACACACACACACACACACACACACACACTATAACTGGGCTAGAAGTGGACCCTCTCGACAGCAGGAACAACCTCCTCCACTCTCCACCACAACACGGATATAATTCATAAGACTTGTATGTTCTATATTTACATATCAATAAGGTGAGGGAGGAGACATGTTCCATTGGGGGACTGATTCGCTAATCCGCAGACCCGAGGCTGAAAATTCGAATCCTGTTCCAGTGTTTTGGATATTTAATTAAATCCTTCTCTGTCTATGTGTTTATGTTATTATTAAAGGAGTTACCAAGCGACCTGTAGTATTTTTCTCGACTCCAAGTGATGTCCTTAATACTGATTATTGTTAACTAAATGAATATACAAAGGGATAACGATACACGAGAAGGGTTTTAACGAAAGAATGAATCCCTTATGTAAATACCAAAAGGTAGAGATAGACCGCCAGCCAAACAGGGGTGAGGCGTCACATGCAAGGGCTCCACACAATGTTGTTTATGAAAGGTATAAATGCAGCAATGATTCATCAGCAGCTTCCATGAGAGAGTTGATTTAGGCGTCGCTCAAGTGTTATCAACTTATTAATATGGGGCTGTGATGTACGACCCCTACCCTGTACTCTGCTGCTTCTCGATTGTTACTGCTACTTATTGCGCCTGCTTCCCTACTCTTATTATTGCTGGTTTGCTCCTGCTATTTGACTGCTACCCATTGTTACTGCTGCTGTGCTTTTCTGTTACTGCTGCTGCTGCTGTGCTTTTCTGTTACTGCTGCTGCTGCTGTGCTTTTCTGTTACTTCTGCTGCCTCACTGTTATTTCTGGTGTGCCCTGCTTTTGTTGCCGTTGCAGTTCCCAACACTACACTACATTACACTGTCCCCCTGTTGCTGTAGGTCGCCTTATGACACAAGGCAATAAAGACACGCTCGCCATTGGGACACTCAGGTTACTAGGACCTGCAGACTATTGGGACACTCGGGCTAAAGGATCCTATAGGACGAGGATCATCCATAACAAGGAATCGTGTAGGATGGAAGTATTTGGCCTTAAAGGATATCATACGTTTGTACAACCGAGGGGTCCTATAGTGAGCATGGAAGAATAGTTCACGATATGAGGGAATCCTTCAACATAGAGGTCCTGTGGATAAGTCCTATAGCAGTGGAGAAGAGTATCAGGTAGATGTGAAGTGGATGTCATGAAGAATAGGAACCCCCGCTTGTTTTACCCGATGATTGAACACCTTATTTCTAATCTAACCTAACCTAATATAACCTAACCTAACCCCCTACGTAGCATTAAGGTGTTTAGTCATCGGGTAAAATAAGCGAGGGTGCCTTATCTTCATGAGATTCGGTAAATTATACCAATAGAAATGTTGGTGCCACGTGGAGCAGCAGCAGGTGTGACCCAGCGTGGCCTCGTGCCGGGCGCTGCTCCTGTAACCGGAGGACAGGAAATAACTTTTTACGTGAAACAAAAGTAAAGGAAGACTACAAGTACACATGTTGGGTCTTGTGTATCTGGTGTGTTGCCCTAAACTCTGTCAAGAATGGTGTTTGTTCAGTAATTATATCGTACTGTACGAGTGACAAGTTATGGATGAATGTGGCGGCATAACAGAAGGTACACCTTACATACACTCTGAGGACGTGAGCAGCTGAGGCTGACGTAGGAGGATGTTTGTCCTTCCCAGAAACAGTGAGGAAACACTGACAGACACACATGGCACATCGCTGATGAGTGACCGTGACGCACACGCCAGGAATGTGTGTGTCTTGTGCTGCTCTGAGACCCACGAGGTCTTCCCCGCATGTTGAAGCTGTTGATCACCACAACAACATTTACAACAACTGCCACGTTCCTGCCTCTTGTTCTATATAGATTCTTTATCAACGTCTGAGTGTACGTCTCATGGCTTCACAACGTTTTTACTTTTATGAAGATATTAAGGAATATATATATATATATATATATATATATATATATATATATATATATATATATATATATATATATATATATATATATATATTTATATTTATATTAGCCGTTATTTGACATACAGTACTCATATTGCTCTCATCATTCTCAGTCGTGAGCAGGACGAAATTTATTGTCTTCTTCAGTACTGGAGAATCTGTGTAGCTGTTTCTTCACTTTATTCATTTCCAGCAAGTGCGAGCACCGTATATCCTGTGAGCCACACAACACAGGGTCGACACCCAAAGGTCACGGGGATAACGTTACCAAGTGTGCAATGTGTTCCTGCGTTACATTAGTGTGTTATGTTGCAAGAGAGGCGCTGGTCCCCCACTGAAGTGTCTCATCAGACATGACTTTACGCGGGAGGTGGAGTCCAGGCTGCTGGAGGCCCTCAACTGGTCGATGAAGGCGTAGAGTGTGGACGTGTCCTGCCCCGCCCTTGAAGAGCAAGGTGTGTGAGACACTGTTTGGTAAGAGGAGTGGTTGTGGGCGTCGAGAAGGACTGAGGGAGGAGGAGGGCGTGAGGATGGGCAGTAGGGCGGGGGTGATGGAGGAGGAGCGGGAGGGAGGGAGAGAGTGTAGCAGCAGCATGGTGGAGGGGCCCTGAGGTGGTCAGTCGTCGACACTCACCACCATCGAGGAGGCGTGTCGCGCCCTCACCCGGAGCCCCTCGCCTACCCGCCCTCACCCGGCACACACTCACACGCCCACCATCGCGCCCCTCCTGCGTGTATGTTCCCGGTGAGCAGTAGTTAACTTGATCCGTGTACTGTACGTGTATAGTTACTGGTGGTGATACAAGAGGCAGGAGGTGAGTGATGTGTGTCGCGAGAAAACACGGGCAGGAAGGGACCTTATCCGGCCAAACTTGACCAACAGTAAACATCAGAGTGCATGGCTGAAGAAAAACACAACAATATTACCAGATAAAGAATAAAATCAAGTACATCAATTGTTACAGATATTTTCCCCGAGTATCTTACACTAGCAGGGCACTGTACACAACACGTCACAGAGGTGCCAAACATGTGAGAGGAAAAAGAACGGATAAGGAGTGACACACAATTGGAAGACTAGCAGTAGTGGCTAATGTTAAAGTGAGGAGAGAGAAGGAGAGTGAGGAGAGAGGAGGAGAGTGAGGACCTCCACTTGGCGACGCTTGCGGCTCACTGGTCAATATGACCCCTACTTACTACCTGTTGGTGAGTACCTTGTTTATGTTGCCATACTGTCCTGACCAACTGGGTACTGTCCTGACCAACTGGGTACTGTTCTGACCAACTGGGTACTGTTCTGACCAACTGGGTACTGTTCTGACAAACTGGGTACTGTTCTGACCAGCTGGGTACTGTCCTGACCAACTGGGTACTGTTCTGACCAACTGGGTCCTGACCAACTGGGTACTGTCAACTGGGCTGTCTGACCAACCAACTGTTCAACTGGGTACTGTTCTGACCAACTGGGTACTGTCCTGACCAACCTGGGTACTGTCCTGACCAACTGGGTACTGTCCTGACCAACTGGGTACTGTTCTGACCAACTGGGTACTGTTCTGACCAACTGGGTACTGTTCTGACAAACTGGGTACTGTTCTGACCCATTGAATTGAATTGGAAGTTTATTTAGCCAGAAAAACACAGATACAGAGTGGATAATAATAACAATATTAACATGGCTGAGCCTGTTGAGAGCCAGAGCTCTCTTTTAGGCACCTGATATATACTATACATTTATCTCAAGGAAGTATTATGTAACATTTAGTATCATCTGGAATAGTACACATAACATGGTGGTAATAAGAACATATCAGTTTGTTACCACGGCTATCGCTTCGATTTTTTTTTACATTTATAAGTATATACATAATTTACAGAGGAATTGAAAAACATAAATATAATGGGGAAGCAGTACAACATGGGTTGTACAGTATTAAGGTTGAACAAGAGGACAGAGCTGTCAGGATTATGTCTAGTTGGCAAATATATTTATTGCAATGGTAATTTATTATGTATTTACATGATAATTTTTAATAAAACGGTTTTGATGGTACAATACAATCAGGTATATACTGTATAGTAGGTATTACAAGAAATATTAATACTTAGACAATAGATATTTTTAAGAGATGATTTAAAGGAAGGGAGCGTAGTCTTTGCTCTGATGGGTGGAGGTAAGTTGTTCCACACCTTCACACCATGATATTTTATGGAGATCTGGGACTGAGAGGAGCGCATGGGGGGTGGTCTTAGTAGCTCTTGGTGCCTTAAGTTGTATCTCTGATTATTCCGGAACTGGAAATAATCATTGTCAAGCAAGTGATTGATAGATTTGTAAACAAAGAGGGCACAACAGTAGGTGTTAATATCTTCGAATTTTAACATTTTCAATTTAGCAAATTGTTCGTTTGTGTGATATTTTTTTTACAAGTAGGTCATTGTCCGTACAACTCTCTTTTGTTCAGTAACCAGGGATTGTGTTTTTGAAGAATCAGAGGCCCCCCCATAGTGTGTGACAGTGTATCAGGTGTTGGTAAACAAGATCATGATATATTTCTTTCATTGCTGTGAAAGTAAGTGACTGTCGAGTGTGATACGGGATACCGCACTGTGTATTGACTTTACTGTGAATAGCTTGTATGTGGTTTCTCCAGTTACGTTTCTCATCAACAATAACTCCGAGGAATTTAGTATTTTGTTCGAGTTTGAGGACTGTATTACCAAGGTACAGGGGGTCCAAGTCTGGGGGCAAGTTTTTCCTTCTGTGAAAGATGTGTAGTGGGTTTTCTCGAGGTTTAAGGTCAATTTATTACGTATTACCCAGGTCCTGACTTTAGTCAATTCAGTGTTCATAGTTCTCGTCAAGGACTGTTCTGACCTACTGGGTACTGTTCTAACCAATTGGGTACTGTTCTGTCCAACTGGGTACTGTCCTGACCAATTGGGTACTGTTCTGTCCAACTGGGTACTGTCCTGACCTATTGGGTACTGTACTGACCTTTTGGGTACTATTCTGTCCAACTGGGTACTGTCCTGACCTATTGGGTACTGTACTGACCTTTTGGGTACTATTCTGTCCAACTGGGTACTGTACTGACCTATTGGGTACTGTTCTGACCTACTGGGTACTTTTCTGACCAACTGGGTACTGGTCTGACCAACTGGCTACTGGTCTGACCATCTGTGTGTTGTGGGGTCCTACTGGGTGTTGTGGGGTCCTACTGGGTGTTGTGGTGTCCTACTGGGTGTTGTCCGGTCCTACTGTGTGTTGTGGGGTCCTACTGCGTGTTGTGGGGTCCTACTGGGTGTTGTGGGGTCCTAATGGGTGTTATGGGGGTTTACTGGGTATTGTGGGGTCCTTACTGTGTGTTGTGGGGTCCTACTGTGTGTTGTGGGGTCCTACTGGGTGTTGTGGGGTCCTACTGGGTGTTGTGGTGTCCTACTGGGTGTTGTCCGGTCCTACTGTGTGTTGTGGGGTCCTACTGCGTGTTGTGGGGTCCTACTGGGTGTTGTGGGGTCCTAATGGGTGTTATGGTGTTCTTACTGGGTGTGGGAGGTCCTACTGGGTGTTGTTAGGGGTCCCTACTGGGTGTTGTGGGGTCCTACTGTGTGTTGTGGGGTCCCCTACTGGGTGTCAGGGTCCTACTGTGTGTTGGGGTCCTACTGTGTGTTGTGGAGTGAATGCAGAGTCTTGGAGGTGTTATGTGGTAGATATAGTGGTGGTTGCTGGTAGGTGAGTGGTGGTTACTGAGTAGATATGAAGTGGGTGGTTACTGGTAGATATAGTGGTGTTACTGAGTGAATATAGTGGTGGTTGCTGGTAAATATAGTGGTGGTTACTGGTATAGATATAGTGGTGGTTACTGGTAGATATGAAGTGGTGGATTTACTGGTAGATATAGTGGTGGTTGCACTGGTAGATATAGTGGTGGTTACTGGTGGATATAGTGGTGGCTACTGGTAGATATAGTGGTGGTTACTGGTGGTATAGTGGTGGTTACTGGTAGAAGGAATTAGTACCCAGTTACTGGTAGATGGAGTGGTGGTTACTGGTAGATATAGTGGTGGTTACTGGTAGATATAGTGGTGGTTAGTGGTAGATGGAGTGGTGGTTACTGGTAGATATAGTGGTGGTTACTGGTGGATATAGTGGTAGATGTAGTGAAGGGTGTCGTGGTATATGAGTTGCATAAGTGTTAGTGGCCAGGGTGTTGGTGTGTGGTGGTAGGGGGAAGTGTAGTGACCCTGATTACACCCTTTTCCCCCCTCCCCCACCACCCCAACCTTCCCTACCCTCTTTGCCCCCTCCCCACCACCCCAACCTTCCCTACCCTCTTGCCCCTCCCCCCCCACCACCCCAACCTTTACCCTCTCTTACCCCTCCCCACCACCCCAACCTTCCCTACCCCCTCTTACCCCCTCCACCACCCCAACCTTCCCTACCCCCTTACCCCTCCCCACCACCCCAACCTTCCCTACCCTCTCTCACCCCCTCCCCCACCACCCCAACCTTCCCTACCTCCCCCTCCCCTTACCCCTTCCCCCACCCACCCCAGCCCCTACCCCCTCTTGCCTCCCCCCACCACCCCAGCCTTCCCTACCCTCTCTTGCCCCCTCCACCACCACCCCAACCTTCCCTACCTCCTCTTACCCCTCCCCTACCACCCCAACCTTCCCTACCCCTCTTGCCCTCCCCACCACCCTTCCCTACACCTCCTCCCCACCCCCCAACCTTCCCTACCCTCTTGCCCCTCCACCACCACCCCAACCTTCCCTACCTCCTCTTACCCCTCCCCCACCACCCCAACCTTCCCTACCCCTCTTACCACCCCACTTCCCCCACCACCCCAACCTTCCCTACCCCCTCTTACCCCTCCCCCCACCACCCCAACCTTCCCTACCTCCTCTCCCCTCTCCCCCCCCCACCACCCCAACCTTCCCTACCCTCTCTTACCCCCCTCCCCCACCACCCCAACCTTCCCTACCTCCTCCCCCTAACCCCATCCTTTACCTCACCCCTACCCTCCCCTACCCCCCCCTCCCTACCTTCACCCTTATTACCCTTCTTTACCCCCTCCCTACCCCCACCCCTCCCCACCCCCCCCTCCCTACCCCCCCACCCCTACCCCTCCCCCCCCCCCCCCTACCCCCACCCCCACCCCCTACCCCACCCCCTACGCCTACCCCACCCCCCCCTCCACCCCCACCCCCCCCCACCCCTACCCCACCCCACCCCACCCCACCCCCCCACCCCACCCCACCCCACCCCACCCTACCCCTACCCCTACCCTACACCCTTATACCCCTACCCCTGACCCCCCAACCCACCATTCTTCTCTGAAAATAATGAGGTTTTGTCCAGTGGAAAATTGTCCGGATAAATTTTGTCCAACGGGGTATATTTGTCCAGACAGACTCGGTAAGACAAACTACTCATTAATTATAGACAAGATGTAACAATTATACCAGAAGCGACACGAGACACCAGTAGTAGTAACAAGTTTGTGTAGAATTATAAGACAACTCACTGAAAAATATATTAAATTATTATATACTCACGTTTGGGTTATTAGTGCAGTAATTAGGGAGTATTTAGCTTTGTTGTTATAATGTGTAGTTGGTGGGTATAGTTGGGTATGTGGTACTTGTATATGTATTTGACTTGGTATAATGTCTCTACTGCTGTTATGGGTGAACTAACGACTCTCCGACATCATTATAAACCTCTATAATGAACCAGTTACCAGGGTATGTTTATCTGCCCATTACTTGTGCCATTAATTTGGGTGAAGACGAGACCAGTTTCTTCGTATGTTGAGGATGTGTGTTCTGATATACCATGATACATCCCTTCCATCATGTTGAAGGTCTTGGTGGTGTATCCTGCGGTAGGTCATTGATGGGGTCTTTAGGTTCCTCAGGTGATCTTGAGAATTGTATTATTTCTCAGCTCCGGGTGCCATTGTCCTCGGATCACCTGATGATTAGCCACCCATAGCTTATTTCACCTGATAATTAAACACCCTAACGATACCTGGGAGTAAGGTTAGGTTAGGTTCGCGTTAGGTTAGGTTAGGTTAGGTTCGCGTTAGGTTTGGTTAGGTTAGGTTAGGTTAGGTTCGCGTTAGGGTAATCATCAGGTGAAATAAACTGGGGTGCTTATTCTTCATGTCCTCTTTACTCCAGTCACTTATCCCGTGTCGTGT